ACAGGTGAAGGGAATTTTATTAATTGAAAATTCAGTGAGTTGTGATAGCAGGCGGGCTGTCCGCCTTGCTGACACGATGTGTAGGTGTTGGCAGCTAAGCTAGGCTTGCTCTCTCTCTTTGTCAGGGAGCTGTGAGTGTGTGAGAGGTTATTCATATGTATTTCAGCATATGTGGATATCTATAGATGATTACTGTGTAGCATTCATATATATACACACTCCGATGATTCCACACATGCTTTTATGTTCTGTTTAAAGCTCTGTTTTATTATTATTTATTTACAAACATATTTTTGCTTATTATGTAATCATTAATTGGGGAAGGATTTCTGGTCAGTATTTCATCTGGGAATTATGTACTGTGGGGCGGGGTTTTCATCTAGTAAATCGAGGCTCTTGGGCCACCAGCTGTGGGAGCGGGGCGTCTCATCTTGGGCCACCAGCTGTGGGAGCGGGGCGTCTCATCTTGGGCCACCAGCTGTGGGAGCGGGGCGTCTCATCTTGGGCCACCAGCAGTGGGAGCGGGGCGTCTCATCTTGGGCCACCAGCAGTGGGAGCGGGGCGTCTCATCTTGGGCCACCAGCTGTGGGAGCGGGGCGTCTCATCTTGGGCCACCAGCTGTGGGAGCGGGGCGTCTCATCTTGGGCCACCAGCTGTGGGAGCGGGGCGTCTCATCTTGGGCCACCAGCTGTGGGAGCGGGGCGTCTCATCTTGGAGCAATATTTCTAACATTGGGTCCTCTAACATTGGGTCCTCTAACATTGGGTCCTCTAACATTGGGTCCTCTAACATTGGGTCCTCTAACATTGGGTCCTCTAACATTGGGTCCTCTAACATTGGGTCCTCTAACATTGGGTCCTCTAACATTGGGTCCTCTAACATTGGGTCCTCTTACATTGGGTCCTCTAACATTGGGTCCTCTAACATTGGGTCCTCTAACATTGGGTCCTCTAACATTGGGTCCTCTAACATTTCGATGGTGTTCCACACCCTGATGGCTTGGTGCTACAGTCTGATGTTTAGTGGCTGTATGTTCAGGAATTCGTGGAGCTCCTGGATTGTCTGATCATATGGTGGACGGTGTTTTGCTGCTCTCCTTAGTGCCTTATTTTGCACTGCTTGTAGTTTCTGCATGTTAGTGTTCTTTAAGGTGTGTAGTGGTTCTGAGGGATACTCTAGATGCGGCCGGACTAGAGCTTTATATAGGTGGATCTGTATGTTCTGAGGCTTCGGAATCACAGTTTTCCCTAAGGCTGCTTTGGCTTTGTTTATTAAATCCTTGACGGAAATTTTTATCCCTCTTCTATTGATCTTGAATCCCAGCATTCTGCCTACCTCCGCATATTGGATCAGGCGGTTGTCAAGGATAATGGCGTCCGGGTTTCTTTTCCAATGTGTATTATCTGGAACTTTTGTTTCTACTTATTTCCATTTCTTTTCAAAGCTGTTTATGAATTCAATTACTGCCTTGGGTGGCCACACTGTGGGTGGTACCCCCATGGGGGCCACACTGTGGGTGGTACCCCCATGGGGGCCACACTGTGGGTGGTACCCCCATGGGGGCCACACTGTGGGTGGTACCCCCATGGTGGCCACACTGTGGGTGGTACCCCCATGGGGGCCACACTGTGGGTGGTACCCCCCTGGGGGCCACACTGTGGGTGGTACCCCCCTGGGGGCCACACTGTGGGTGGTACCCCCCTGGGGGCCACACTGTGGGTGGTACCCCCATGGGGGCCACACTGTGGGTGGTACCCCCCTGGGGGCCACACTGTGGGTGGTACCCCCCTGGGGGCCACACTGTGGGTGGTACCCCCATGGGGGCCACACTGTGGGTAGGTACCCCCCTGGGAGCCACACTGTGGGTGGGTACCCCCCTGGGGGCCACACTGTGGGTGGGTACCCCCTGGGAGCCACACTGTGGGTGGGTACCCCCCTGGGGGCCACACTGTGGGTGGGTACCCCCCTGGGAGCCACACTGTGGGTGGGTACCCCCCTGGGGGCCACACTGTGGGTGGGTACCCCCCTGGGAGCCACACTGTGGGTGGTACCCCCCTGGGGGCCACACTGTGGGTGGTACCCCCATGGGGGCCACACTGTGGGTGGTACCCCCCTGGGAGCCACTCTGTGGGTGGTACCCCCCTGGGGGCCACACTGTGGGTGGTACCCCCCTGGGGGCCACACTGTGGGTGGTACCCCCCTGGGGGCCACACTGTGGGTGGGTACCCCCCTGGGAGCCACACTGTGGGTGGGTACCCCCCTGGGGGCAACACTGTGGGTGGTACCCCCCTGGGAGCCACACTGTGGGTGGGTACCCCCCTGGGGGCAACACTGTGGGTGGGTACCCCCCTGGGAGCCACACTGTGGGTGGTACCCCCCTGGGGGCCACACTGTGGGTGGTACCCCCATGGGGGCCACACTGTGGGTGGTACCCCCCTGGGAGCCACTCTGTGGGTGGTACCCCCCTGGGGGCCACACTGTGGGTGGTACCCCCCTGGGGGCCACACTGTGGGTGGTACCCCCCTGGGGGCCACACTGTGGGTGGGTACCCCCCTTAGAGCCACACTGTGGGTGGGTACCCCCCTGGGGGCAACACTGTGGGTGGTACCCCCCTGGGGGCCACACTGTGGGTGGTACCCCCCTGGGGGCCACACTGTCGGTGGTACCCCCCTGGGGGCCACACTGTCGGTGGGTACCCCCCTGGGAGCCACACTGTGGGTGGTACCCCCCTGGGGGCCACACTGTGGGTGGGTATCCCCCTGGGAGCCACACTGTGGGTGGGTACCCCCCTGGGAGCCACACTGTGGGTGGTACCCCCCTGGGAGCCACACTGTGGGTGGGTACCCCCCTGGGAGCCACACTGTGGGTGGGTACCCCCCTGGGAGCCACACTGTGGGTGGTACCCCCCTGGGGGCCACACTGTGGGTGGGTACCCCCCTGGGAGCCACACTGTGGGTGGTACCCCTCTGGGAGCCACACTGTGGGTGGTACCCCCCTGGGGGCCACACGGTCGGTGGTACCCCCCTGGGGGCCACACTGTCGGTGGGTACCCCCCTGGGAGCCACACTGTGGGTGGTACCCCCCTGGGGGCCACACTGTGGGTGGGTATCCCCCTGGGGGCCACACTGTCGGTGGGTACCCCCCTGGGAGCCACACTGTGGGTGGTACCCCCCTGGGGGCCACACTGTCGGTGGGTACCCCCCTGGGAGCCACACTGTGGGTGGTACCCCCCTGGGGGCCACACTGTGGGTGGGTATCCCCCTGGGAGCCACACTGTGGGTGGGTACCCCCCTGGGAGCCACACTGTGGGTGGGTACCCCCTGGAGTCACACTGTGGGTGGGTACCCCCTGGGAGCCACACTGTGGGTGGGTACCCCCCTGGGAGCCACACTGTGGGTGGGTATCCCCCTGGGAGCCACACTGTGGGTGGTACCCCCCTGGGAGCCACACTGTGGGTGGGTACCCCCTGGGAGCCACACTATGGGTGGGTACCCCCTGGAGTCACACTGTGGGTGGGTACCCCCTGGGAGCCACACTGGCGGTAACCTTGCGATGATTACGGGGCTCAGCGACCCCGCGGCCCGGTTGTCGACCTGGCCTCCTGGTTGCTGGATTGGTCAACGAGGCTGTTGGACGCGGCTACTCGTAGCCTGACGTATGAGTCACAGCCTGGTTGATCAGGTATTCTTTGGAGGTGCTTATCAATTTATCTCTTGAACACTGTGAGGGGTCGGCCAGTTATGTCCCTTATGTGTAGTGGAAGCGTGTTGAACAGTCTCGGGCCTCTGATGTTGATAGAGTTCTCTCTCAGAGTACCTGTTGCACCTCTGCTGTTCAACGGGGGTATTCTGCACATCCTGCCATGCCTTCTTGTCTCATGTGGTGTTATTTCTGTGTACAGGTTTGAGACCAGCCCCTCTACTATTTTCCACATGTAAATTATTATGTATATCTCCCGCCTGCGCTCAAGAGAACACAGATTTAGGCTCTTTAGTCGGTCCCAATAATTTAGATGTTTTACTGAGTGGATTCTAGCAGTAAAGGATCTCTGCACGCTCTCCAGGTCAGCAATTTCTCCAGCTTTGAAAGGGACTGTCATTGTGCAGCAGTACTCCACTCTAGAGAGCACAAGCGTTTTGAAGAGTATCATCATCAGTATAGCATCTCTAGTGTGAAAAGTTCTTGTTATCCAGCCTGTCATTTTTCTTGCAGTTGTGACGGCTACTTTATTGTGTTCTTTAACGGTAAGGTCTTCCGCCATGAGTACTCCCAGGTCCTTTACATTGCCCTTTAGTTCTATGTTATGATCTGACTGCGTTTTGTGCGTTGTTTCCGTTTTTATATTTTCATTTTTTCCGTAGCGCAAGAGAATGAAAATTTCATTATTTTTAATGAAGATAAGTTTCATTTCAACTTATCTTCATTAAGCACCATATTATTTTCTGTTGCCCATAGATTGGAGGTTCTGATTGGAGGTTTGCCGTGTCCTCTATATTGTCTATAGAGTCTATTATAAAAATCCTAGTGTTTTCTGCATTTAATGATATAGTACTGTTGATTGTATCCTTGTGTATGTCCGATATGAGGATGAGAAAAAGTACTGGAGCAAGCACAGTACCCTGGCGGACTGTACTGCAGCAAGCACAGTACCCTAGGGGACTGAGCTCTTCACGGTTAATAGACCGGATTTGAGTTTGATGACTATTACACATTGGGTTCTGTTAGTCAGGAAATTGTAGATCCATCTGCCTATTTTTTCGGTAATTCCGTTTGAACGCATTTTATGTGCAAGAACACCATAGTCATATTTGTCAAAGGCTTTTGTGAAATCTGTGTAAATTACGTCAGTGTTTTGTTTGTCTCCCATGGCATCTAATGCCATATCATAGTGGTCCAGCAACTGTGACAGGCAACAGCGCCTTGTTCTGAAACCATGTTGTCCGGGGTTATGAAGATGCTGTGATTCCAAGTGTATTGTGATTTTACTTCTTAGCACTCTCTCAAAGATTTTTATGATATGTTTTGAAAGTAAGATCATTCTCCACAGTAAGATCACTCTCCCCAGTAATATCACTCTCCCCAGTAAGATCACTCTCCACAGTAAGATCACTCTCCACAGTAAGATCACTCTCCACAGTAAGATCACTCTCCACAGTAAGATCACTCTCCACAGTCAGATCACTCTCCACAGTCAGATCACTCTCCACAGTCAGATCACTCTCCACAGTCAGATCACTCTCCACAGTCAGATCACTCTCCACAGTAAGATCACTTTCCACAGTCAGATCACTCTCCACAGTCAGATCACTCTCCACAGTCAGATCACTCTCCACAGTCAGATCACTCTCCACAGTAAGATCACTTTCCACAGTCAGATCACTCTCCACAGTCAGATCACTCTCCACAGTCAGATCACTCTCCCCAGTAAGATCACTCTCCACAGTAAGATCACTCTCCACAGTCAGATCACTCTCCACAGTCAGATCACTCTCCACAGTCAGATCACTCTCCACAGTCAGATCACTCTCCCCAGTAAGATCACTCTCCACAGTAAGATCACTCTCCACAGTCAGATCACTCTCACAGTAAGATCACTCTCCACAGTCAGATCACTCTCCACAGTCAGATCACTCTCCACAGTAAGATCACTCTCCACAGTCAGATCACTCTCCACAGTCAGATCACTCTCCACAGTCAGATCACTCTCCACAGTAAGATCACTCTCCACAGTCAGATCACTCTCCACAGTCAGATCACTCTCCACAGTCAGATCACTCTCCCCAGTAAGATCACTCTCCACAGTCAGATCACTCTCCACAGTCAGATCACTCTCCACAGTCAGATCACTCTCCACAGTAAGATCACTCTCCACAGTAAGATCACTCTCCACAGTAAGATCACTCTCCACAGTAAGATCACTCTCACAGTAAGATCACTCTCCACAGTAAGATCACTCTCCACAGTCAGATCACTCCCCCAGTAAGATCACTCTCCACAGTCAGATCACTCTCCACAGTCAGATCACTCTCACAGTAAGATCACTCTCCACAGTAAGATCACTCTCCACAGTCAGATCACTCTCCACAGTCAGATCACTCTCCACAGTCAGATCACTCTCCACAGTAAGATCACTCTCCACAGTAAGATCACTCTCCACAGTCAGATCACTCTCCACAGTCAGATCACTCTCCACAGTCAGATCACTCTCCACAGTAAGATCACTCTCCACAGTAAGATCACTCTCCACAGTAAGATCACTCTCCACAGTAAGATCACTCTCCACAGTAAGATCACTCTCCACAGTAAGATCACTCTCCACAGTCAGATCACTCCAGAGTAAGATCACTCTCCACAGTCAGATCACTCTCCACAGTCAGATCACTCCAGAGTAAGATCACTCTCCACAGTAAGATCACTCTCCACAGTAAGATCACTCTCCACAGTCAGATCACTCTCCACAGTCAGATCACTCCAGAGTAAGATCACTCTCCACAGTCAGATCACTCTCCACAGTCAGGTCACTCCAGAGTAAGATCACTCTCCACAGTAAGATCACTCTCCACAGTAAGATCACTCTCCACAGTCAGATCACTCTCCACAGTCAGATCACTCTCCACAGTAAGATCACTCTCCACAGTCAGATCACTCTCCACAGTCAGATCACTCTCCACAGTCAGATCACTCTCCACAGTCAGATCACTCTCCACAGTCAGATCACTCTCCACAGTCAGATCACTCCAGAGTAAGATCACTCTCCACAGTAAGATCACTCTCCACAGTAAGATCACTCTCCCCAGTAAGATCACTCTCCCCAGTAAGATCACTCTCCACAGTAAGATCACTCCACAGTAAGATCACTCTCCACAGTCAGATCACTGCAGAGTAAGATCACTCTCCACAGTCAGATCACTCTCCACAGTCAGATCACTCTGCACAGTCAGATCACTCTGCACAGTCAGATCACTCTCCACAGTCAGATCACTCTCCACAGTAAGATCACACCACAGTAAGATCACTCTCCACAGTCAGATCACACCACAGTAAGATCACTCCACAGTAAGATCACTCCACAGTAAGATCACTCCACAGTAAGATCTCTCCACAGCAAGATCACTCCACAGTAAGATCACTCCACAGTAAGATCACTCCACAGTAAGATCTCTCCACAGTAAGATCACTCCACAGTAAGATCACTCCACAGTAAGATCACTACGCAGTAAGATCACTCCACAGTAAGATCACTCCGCAGTAAGATCACTCCACAGTAAGATCACTCCACAGTAAGATCAGTCCGCAGTAAGATCACTCCACAGTAAGATCACTCCGCAGTAAGATCACTCCACAGTAAGATCACTCCACAGTAAGATCACTCCACAGTAAGATCACTCCGCAGTAAGATCACTCCACAGCAAGATCACTCCACAGTCAGATCACTCCACAGTCAGATCACTCCACAGTAAGATCACTCCACAGTAAGATCATTCCACAGCAAGATCACTCCACAGTAAGATCACTCCACAGTATGATCACTCCTGTGAAGTTTTATCCCTTCGACTCCCTCACATATTATCGCTACAAGGAGGAGGAGGAGAAGTTATAGAATTAAATTAAGATAAACTCGTCTACTGTGAAAAACAGACAGACTTAGCTGGTAGTGAAAATGTTTTGTGTCTCTCCTGGAGTTAGTCGAGGAGAGTAACTCAAAGTTTCTGGAGTAGCTCTCTGCTCCTTGAGTGACCCTTGAGAAATACTATGAGGATGACCTGACCTGGTCATCACTGGTCGGGTCATCCCTGGTCGGGTCATCATTGGTCAGGTCATCACTGGTCGGGTCATCATTGGTCGGGTCATCACTGGTCAGGTCATCACTGGTCAGGTTATCACTGGTCAGGTTATCACTGGTCAGGTCATCACTGGTCAGGTTATCACTGGTCAGGTCATCACTGGTCAGGTCATCACTGATCAGGTTATCACTGGTCAGGTCATCACTGGTCAGGTCATCACTGGTCGGGTCATCACTGGTCGGGTCATCACTGGTCGGGTCATCACTGGTCAGGTCATCACTGGTCGGGTCATCACTGGTCGGGTCATCACTGGTCGGGTCATCACTGGTCAGGTCATCACTGGTCGGGTCATCACTGGTCGGGTCATCACTGGTCGGGTCATCATTGGTCAGGTCATCACTGGTCAGGTCATCACTGGTCGGGTCATCACTGGTCAGGTCATCACTGGTCGGGTCATCACTGGTCAGGTTATCACTGGTCGGGTCATCACTGGTCGGGTCATCACTGGTCAGGTCATCACTGGTCATCAATGCAACATGCTCTGTTGCACTTTCTCTTAGGCCAGACTATTGTTCAAGTTTTAACAATATTAAATTGTACAATTGTTATTATTGAGGTAAATTCATTTATAGCAATGTATATTTGCAATTAAACAATTGTAAATGTATTATTGGTATTAATTAACCTAGCTATTTGTATTATTATTAGAGTGTGATGCATCAGACTTGTAAGGCTGTGGCTAATGGACCTGTGTTAAGACTTTGTTAGCCGTCTTGCCCGGCTGGAGCACTCTCTAATGTAGTTAACTGTTAAAGAGTGATGGCCAGGTCTTGTTGGGTGGTTAGGGCGGCCGTCTGGGGCCGTTAGCTCCTGGGCCCGCCTCACTCTCCTCAACTACTTCAGTTTTTTATACTGACATATATACCTAGATATTTTTATTTTATTAACAAGTCATGTTTATGTTTCTGATGATCTAAACCGCTTCTACTGCTTGAGGGTGCTGTGGTGTTGTCTTGGTGGTGTTGTCTTGGTGGTGTTGTTGTCTTGGTGGTGTTGTCTTGGTGGTGTTGTCTTGGTGGTGCTGTTGTCTTGGTGGTGTTGTCTTGGTGGTGCTGTTGTCTTGGTGGTGTTGTCTTGGTGGTGTTGTCTTGGTGGTGCTGTTGTCTTGGTGGTGTTTTCTTGGTGGTGCTGTTGTCTTGGTGGTGCTGTTGTCTTGGTGGTGTTGTCTTGGTGGTGCTGTTGTCTTGGTGGTGTTGGTGTTGTCTTGGTGGTGTTGTCTTGGTGGTGTTGTCTTGGTGGTGTTGTCTTGGTGGTGCTGTTGTCTTGGTGGTGGTGTTGTCTTGGTGGTGGTGGTGTTGTCTTGGTGGTGGTGGTGTTGTCTTGGTGGTGTTGTCTTGGTGGTGCTGTTGTCTTGGTGGTGGTGTTGTCTTGGTGGTGGTGGTGTTGTCTTGGTGGTGGTGGTGTTGTCTTGGTGGTGTTGTCTTGGTGGTGCTGTTGTCTTGGTGGTGTTGTCTTGGTGGTGGTGGTGTTGTCTTGGTGATGCTGTCTTAGTGGTGGTGGTGTTGTCTTGGTGGTGTTGTCTTGGTGGAGGTGGTGTTGTCTTGATGGTGGTGTTGTCTTGGTGGTGGTGTTGTCTTGGTGGTGGTGTTGTCTTGGTGGTGGTGTTGTTGTCTTGGTGGTGGTGGTGTTGTCTTGGTGGTGGTGTTGTTGTCTTGGTGATGCTGTCTTGGTGGTGGTGGTGTTGTCTTGGTGGTGTTGTCTTGATGGTGGTGGTGTTGTCTTGGTGGTGCTGTCTTGGTGGTGTTGGTGTTGTCTTGGTGGTGGTGTTGTCTTGGTGGTGGTGTTATCTTGGTGGTGGTGTTGTCTTGGTGGTGGTGTTGTCTTGGTGGTGTTGTCTTGGTGGTGTTGTCTTGGTGGTGTTGTCTTGGTGGTGTTGTCTTGGTGGTGGTGTTGTTGTCTTGGTGATGCTGTCTTGGTGGTGGTGGTGTTGTCTTGGTGGTGGTGTTGTTGTCTTGATGATGCTGTCTTGGTGGTGGTGGTGTTGTCTTGGTGGTGTTGTCTTGGTGGTGTTGTCTTGGTGGTGGTGGTGTTGTCTTGGTGGTGCTGTCTTGGTGGTGTTGTCTTGGTGGTGGTGGTGTTGTCTTGGTGGTGGTGGTGTTGTCTTGGTGGTGGTGTTGTTGTCTTGGTGGTGGTGGTGTTGTCTTGGTGGTGGTGTTGTTGTCTTGGTGGTGGTGTTGTCTTGGTGGTGGTGGTGGTGTTGTCTTGGTGGTGGTGGTGCTGTGTTTGTGGTGGTGTTGGTACTCACCTATTTGTGCTTGTGGGGCTTGAGCTCTGGGTCTTTGGTCCCGCCTCTCAACCGTCAATCAACTGGTGTACAGGTTCCTGAGCCTATCGGGCTCTATCATATCTACACTTGAAACTGTGTATGGAGTAAGCCTTCACCACATCACTTCCTAATGCATTACATTTGTCAACCACTCTGACACTAACAAAATTCTTTTTAATATCTCTTTGGCTCATTTGGGCACTCAGTTTCCACCTGTGTCCCCTAGTGCGTGTGCCCCTTGTGTTAAATAGACTGTCTTTATCTACCCTGTCGATTCCTCTGAAATTATTGAACGTAGTGATCATGTCCCTCCCCAACTCTTCTGTCTTCCAGCGACGTGAGGTTTAATTCCCGTAGTCTCTCCTCGTAGCTCATTCCTCTCAGCTCGGGTACTAGTCTGGTGGCAAACCTTTGAACCTTTTCTAGTTTAGTCTTATCCTTGACTAGATATGGACTCCATGCTGGAGCCGCATACTCCAGGATTGGTCTGACATATGTGGTATATAATGTTCTGAAAGATTCCTTACACAAATGTCTAAATGCCGTTCTTATGTTAGCTAACAACGCATATGCTGCTGATGTTATACTCTTGATATGGGCTTCAGGGGACAGGACAGCTCTCTCTTTCTGACTCTTGAAGATTTTCATCTCCCAAATGATACCTTATAACTGGCCTCCTGCTCCCTACACCTATCTCCATTACAATACATTTGCTTGGGTTAACCTCTAACATTCGAAGGAATTCGACCATTCCTTCAGCTTGTCTAGGTCTTCTTGAAGCCTCAAGCAGTCCTCCTCTGTCTTAATCGTTCTCATAATTTTGGCGTCGTCAGCAAACATTGAGAGGAATGAGTCTATACACTCCGGGAGATCGTTTACATATATCAGAAACAGGATAGGACCGAGTACAGAGTCCTGTGGCACTACACTGGTGACTTCACGCCAATCTGAGGTCTCACCCCTCATCGTAACTCTCTGCTTCCTATTGCTTAGGTATTCCCTTATCCACTGGAGCACTTTACCAGTTACTCCTGCATGTCTCTCCAGCTTATGTACCAGCCTCTTATGGGGGACTGTATCAAAGGCTTTCTGACAGTCCAAACAAATGCAGTCCACCCAGCCTTCTCTTTCTTGCTTAATCTTTGTCACCTTGTCGTAGAATTCTTTAAGCCTGTCAGGCAAGATTTACCCTCCCTGAACCCATGTTGGCGCTTTGTCACGAAGTTCCTTCTCTCCAGATGTGATACTAGTTTTTTCACACAATCTTCTCCATTACCTTGCATTGTATACAAGTTAAGGACACTGGCCTGAAGTTCAGTGCCTCTTGTCTGTCACCCTTTTTGTATATTTTGACCACATTAGCCATCTTCCATATTTCTGGTAGGTCTCCCGTCTCCAGTGACACTATGGAGAGTGGCAAGCAAAGTGCTTCTGCACACTCTTTCAGTACCCATGGCGAGATTCCGTCTGGACCAACAGCCTTTCTCACATCCAGATCCAGCAGGTGTCTCTTAACCATATCTCTCGTAATTTCGAACCCTTCCAAGGCCGCCTGGTTTACTGCCAGGCGGCCTGCTGCCACTCCTAGCGCAGTGACTTCACCTTGTTCTTGGTGGTGTTGTCTTGGTGGTGCTGTCTTGGTGGTGTTGGTGCTGTCTTGGTGGTGTTGGTGCTGTCTTGGTGGCGCTGTCTTGGTGGTGTTGTCTTGGTGGTGTTGGTGCTGTCTTGGTGGCGCTGTCTTGGTGGTAGTGGTGTTGTCTTGGTGGTGCTGTCTTGGTGGTGGTGGTGTTGTCTTGGTGGTGCTGTCTTGGTGGTGGTGGTGTTGTCTTGGTGGTGCTGTCTTGGTGGCGCTGTCTTGGTGGTGGTGGTGTTGTCTTGGTGGTGCTGTCTTGGTGGTGTTGTCTTGGTGGTGCTGTCTTGGTGGTGCTGTCTTGGTGGTGTTGTCTTGGTGGTGCTGTCTTGGTGGTGGTGGTGTTGTCTTGGTGGTGCTGTTTTGGTGGTGCTGTCTTGGTGGTGTTGGTGCTGTCTTGGTGGTGTTGTCTTGGTGGTGCTGTCTTGGTGGTGTTGTCTTGGTGGTGCTGTCTTGGTGGTGGTGGTGTTGTCTTGGTGGTGCTGTTTTGGTGGTGCTGTCTTGGTGGTGTTGGTGCTGTCTTGGTGGTGTTGTCTTGGTGGTGTTGTCTTGGTGGTGCTGTCTTGGTGGTGTTGTCTTGGTGGTGCTGTCTTGGTGGTGGTGGTGTTGTCTTGGTGGTGCTGTTTTGGTGGTGCTGTCTTGGTGGTGTTGGTGCTATCTTGGTGGTGTTGTCTTGGTGGTGTTGTCTTGGTGGTGCTGTCTTGGTGGTGTTGTCTTGGTGGTGTTGTCTTGGTGGTGCTGTCTTGGTGGTGTTGGTGCTGTCTTGGTGGTGTTGTCTTGGTGGTGCTGTCTTGGTGGTGCTGTCTTGGTGGTGGTGGTGTTGTCTTGGTGGTGTTGGTGCTGTCTTGGTGGTGTTGGTGCTGTCTTGGTGGTGTTGTCTTGGTGGTGTTGGTGCTGTCTTGGTGGTGCTGTCTTGGTGGTGTTGTCTTGGTGGTGTTGTCTTGGTGGTGCTGGTGCTGTCTTGGTGGTGTTGTCTTGGTGGTGTTGTCTTGGTGGTGGTGGTGCTGTCTTGGTGGTGTTGTCTTGGTGGTGTTGGTGCTGTCTTGGTGGTGCTGTCTTGGTGGTGTTGGTGCTGTCTTGGTGGTGCTGTCTTGGTGGTGTTGTCTTGGTGGTGCTGTCTTGGTGGTGGTGGTGTTGTCTTGGTGGTGTTGGTGCTGTCTTGGTGGTGCTGTCTTGGTGGTGTTGTCTTGGTGGTGCTGTCTTGGTGGTGCTGTCTTGGTGGTGCTGTCTTGGTGGTGTTGTCTTGGTGGTGCTGTCTTGGTGGTGCTGTCTTGGTGGTGTTGTCTTGGTGGTGCTGTCTTGGTGGTGGTGGTGCTGTCTTGGTGGTGTTGGTGCTGTCTTGGTGGTGCTGTCTTGGTGGTGTTGTCTTGGTGGTGCTGTCTTGGTGGTGTTGTCTTGGTGGTGTTGGTGCTGTCTTGGTGGTGCTGTCTTGGTGGTGCTGTCTTGGTGGTGTTGTCTTGGTGGTGCTGTCTTGGTGGTGTTGTCTTGGTGGTGCTGTCTTGGTGGTGTTGTCTTGGTGGTGCTGTCTTGGTGGTGTTGTCTTGGTGGTGCTGTCTTGGTGGTGTTGTCTT